TGTTGGACAACATTCTCATCACACTGTCGAAGGGGTGTGGATATGGTGTGTGTGTGGGTGTGGGTTAGAGTACTGCGCGGGTTTGACTTTTAGCACCCGCACCCGACCCGAAGGCCTCTAGTGGGACCCGAGCCCGACCCGACCCGACAAGGTTCTACCCGAGCCCGACCCGACCCGACAAGGTTCAACCCGAGCCCGACCCGACCCGACAAGATTCAACCCGAGCCCGACCCGACCCGCTGATAGTCGAACCCGAACCCGACCCGACCCGAGAAACTAAATTCGCTTATTTCCAAAAGATAAACAACTTTATTTCAATGTTAACCACAAAAAATAACAAAAAATTGTTCCACCAAATAGCATTTGATTGTGGTTTATCACATAACGTATATTCACCACTTTGAAGCAATTTCCGAATCTTTTCTTTTGGATCCATTTGAAAAAGATAAAAATAATAACGAAAGTATGACTATAACAAAGTATCAGTTGTTTATAAATACAAAGAAAGCTCACATCCATATATGTGTATATATGTGTATCTATTATTTGTAGTCATAAACCAATAGAATTATATTTCATTGTTCTTTGTATTTAACGTATACAATAATAGAGGGCAGAGGCATCTATCGCGAAAAAAATGTAACCCGAAAAAAATCCGAAATTTTCAACATCAAACCCGCACCCGACCCGACCCGCAGCTAATCGAACCCGTGCCCGACCCGACCCGACAGGATTGAACCCGCACCCGACCCGACCCGATAGGGTTGAACCCGCACCCGTCCGCGGGTGCGGGTCGGGTGCGGGTTCGGGTCGGGTCGGGTCGGGTTGCAGTACTCTAGTGTGGGTGTGTGGGTGTGGGTGTGGGTGTGCGGGTGTGTGTGGGTGGGTGGTATGGTTGTGGGTGTGTGTGTGGGTGTGGGTGTGTGTGGATATGAACGTCAAAGAAGATACCCATACCCATACCCACACCCACACCCAATATGTTATGCGCAATCAGCATCAAAAACTGAGCCCACGTATGTGTATTTCAAACGTTTTTGAAAATTTTATTATCGAAAAAGTCTCATTTGGTCATTATCAGGGTAGACCGAAAAAGTGAAAATTCCGTGGATTCGATTTTCCCTTGCAACCTTCGCTCATGGACCAATGTTGGCTCTCCAAGTGGTTGTATTAGGTACACAGTTGAATTCTCTACTGACTGGTGCTCTATTCCAGTGTACATCGACCAGAAAATGAGGATTTGACTCCAAACGTTGTGAGGTGTGGATGTGGCTTTGGATGGACTGAAATTAACACAAACAACCACATCCATATCCACACCCACACTTACACACTCTTCCATACGAACACCTATCCACCCACACCCATACACAGTCCAGACTCAGACTCACACTCACATACACCCCAGACACACTCCAGTGACCATTGAGTTCCGTCATATAAAAACTTTTTTGTAAAAGAAATAGATTTATAAGAGTGCTATTGTTATTCGGGCCAGACTGGGGTCTAATAGAGTAGAAGTTGGGTCGGGTCGAGCCATCAAAAATTGACTCGTTGCAAGGTCAGGCTCCCATTACCGTAATTTACTGGAGTCAACCACTGGTTTTGATAAATACTGCGGTTTACCGCTAAAAACTGTCCGGTATTTACGATATGGGTACTATGGGGAGCAGATGACATAAAGTTTTCAGCTAAAATAATAATTTTATCATTTTGTGAAAATATAATTTGTTCTTCTTTATCTGGATTTAAAACAATTCCAAAAAATCTTGTTTCATCATGTAAATATTTCATTAATCTATAACCAATTGCTAAGCATTGATATTTTAATGTTTTTTGTAAAATTTGATAATAACTAATTGGTGTTTCTAGTGGAACGAACATCGATGCTAAACATGAATAAATCTCAGGACCATCCACTGTTAATAAAACATCATAAACTTTTTTTATATTTTTATTTTCAGATAATTGTGAAATATATTTTGATATTAAATTTGGACTAACGATAAAATCATCGGCACATGTTGTATTTGCTAATTGACAATTACGTATATCATACATTTCTGCTACTATACTAAATGTTTTTTCCTTATTTGATTTATCAATAATATTTTGTAGATGTAATAAACAAATTAAACATTCAGCATCAGCTTCTTCAATTAAATTTTGTTGTTCACTTTCTTCATTTGCTAATAATATAACATAATCATAAGAAAATAAATTTAATTTTTCTAAATCAAATCTATTTGTCAAATTTCCAGAATATACAAATATTTGTTGTTCTGTTAATTCATTAACTAATTGTTCATTTATAAATTGTGTTATTCTATCAGCATTTGTTAATACATGTAGTTCACTACCACGAGCAACATAACTATCCAATTCTTTAGCAATTAATGGAGCTTTATTATTCCATCCGAGTACAAGATTTCGCTCAACTCTTTTTGTTGTTCCTCTAGTCATAGAGTTTGATAATAAAATTGTATTATGATTGATTAATGAAGATAATACTAATCCTGAATGTTCATTATTAATACGTAATAAATAATCGGATGATAATATAATTTTACCATCATCTTCAGCGATAACAATAATTTGATCATCAATATTTATTATTATAATTAGTCGAGGAAATATTTTAACTGTTCCATCGGATAACATTAATCCAATTACTGAACATTTATTATATGAAAATACAGCATCATAAAATGTTCTACCAACAAGTGCTCTTTCATATTTAAAATAAATTTCATCATTTTGAAATTATAATAAAATCGTTAATATTACACTTAAATCACTTTGTCGACATGATTGAGCTATAATACGTGCAATTATTTCATCAGCATAGACAAATAATGCTTCATCTCCGCCTAAAACAAAAAAACAAATATTTTATTTTTTACTATTAAATATTTCTGTGAACAAAGGAAAATTATTTGTTTTATTATTCATGAGACATTGGACAACAACTTATGCATTCGAACGAATTACTTATATAAAAACAAGATTAGTAAAACATGTAAAAGCAAATATTTAAATGTATAAAAAACTAATAAAAACCTGCAATCATTGCCGCTTCTAAATTGATTCGTTCTTTTATTTCGGCTACAATATGAAAATTAATGTTATTTCGTCGTGGACTATTTCTAATTGCTAATATTGTTTTTATTACTCTAACATCAGGATTGTTTATTACCGGTGCCAGTATAATTATTGATCGTGCTTGATTAAGACTCAATTTTTTCAAATTATTAATCTAAATTTAATAAAATATAATGTAATCATTTATTTATGATATTTAGATATACACAATAAAATAGAAAATTGAACAAAAAATTATATTCGACATTCATTTGTTACGAAAGAGACACAGAAAACAATTAGATAAGTATTATCCAAAAAAAAATTCGAATCAATGTTTTCTAGTTTTCGGTTAGAATTTTTGGAAAAAGTATCTTTTTAATTATTAGAATACTTGGAAAATATCCTTCAAATGATTTTTTATAGTCTACAAGACGAGCGAATAAGGGAAAGAAAATGGAAGAGTGCGCTTCAGTCGGAATACTATTATTTTTTCATTGTCATACTATTAATAAAAGGGAGAGACAAAAAGCAGAGCATTTGTCAAAAAAAAGCAATTTTTTGTATTTTTTACATACCGACATAGGATCACCATTTCTATAAATAATTCTTGTATTTCTTGAATTATTTACTTTATCCTTAATCATATATTGAACTTCACTATTATCTTTTGATGTCAAAATAACAATTGAAGGATTACGTTGATTTTCATTTGCAATAATTAATTCTTTAATAATATCAAATATTTTTGGTGACCATCCTAAAATTACTAAACACAAAGAAAAAAAGGAAGAGAGACAAACTTTTTCTGTTTGAATATTTAATCAATTTAATTTATAAATTTTACTTGTATGATTCCTTTCAACAACTGTTGTACGTCCTTTCTTTAATTCATTTAATTTTTCATCCATAAAAGTTACAATTGCACCAATTAATATTGCAATAATAACAAGGCCACAAAGTATAACAATTCCAGATGTAATTCGATTTTTTAAACCTTCATCGTCTGCTGCAACACATGGATCAAGTATACGTGTAAATGTTTGCCATAATGCACCTTCATAATTATCTGTTTTTTCAGTATAATAATAAATTACACTAAATATTAATATAATAAATACACTTATAATAGTTAATAATGGAATAATAAAAATTAAACCATGGGCAAATAGATTATTAAATTTATATTTTATATATGAACAAATATATTTTAATATATTGTTATTATTTGAAGAAGATGTGTTACTGTTTGTCGATATCATTTGCATTCCTTTATTAGTTAAATAATTTCTGAAACAAATTACACAAAAAAAAATGTAAAATACTAAATAACGTTTTATATTTTGGCATCATTTTTTTTGATTTATCATTTCTATCATACTTATAATATCATTCGAGTCATTTCTCATCAGTGTCTTTTATCTATCTTTTAAAGAGATTTCTTGTCTTTTAATATTTGCAAATAATAAATATAACATCCAACAAAATTTTAACGATATTATTTCCAGATCGAGCATTACAGTGACCAGAAACGACTGTATACGGCTCTATACGACCATAAGTTCACCGTATACAACGGTTCCCACTTTCGGTAGACTAAAACAAAGCTGAGGCATATGGTATTCATCAAGAAGCCTTTAAAGATCTTTTCTACACTCCTACGTTTATACTCCCAAAAACTCCAGTCCAATGAGGTACAAAAAAAAAATATCGATAAAGATCATTAAAGATATTTCAAGATCTTTAATGATCTTTTCTTTCAAACAAGGTATGTTAATCTCCAAAATACCTACAGAATAAGATATTCTTCAATAAAAGATCTTTCTTTATCAAAATATAAATTCAAGCACGAAAAATAACCCTTACATCAAATACTTGAAAGACAAATGTCATTAAAGATCTTTTTTTTCCTGAACATCGTAACTATCCTCAAAGCCACCTTGAAAACCAGGTATCATTCAAAAAAAAGATCCCTCTGTATGAAAGTAGATTGTTAAGTTCTAAAAATACCTTGAAATGAGGTACTTGAAACAAAAATCGATTTTTAAAGACGGAGAAATATCGTTTCTTTTATGAATAGTACTGCTTAAAAATCAATTTTTCATACTCGTTACTACTACCTGTTTTGCAACTCAAATGAGCCCTAGCACGAGGTGCATCCCTATATATATGATAGATAGAGTCTCAAAAAGAATAAAAAAGATCATTTTTCGGTCGAATAGCATTGTTTAAAGATCGATTATTCATATTTGTTACTGCTAACTGTTTTGCAACTCAAATGAGCTCTAACCCGTGGTGCACCCCTATACGTATGGTAGACATAGTGTGGAAAAGAATGAAAAATCGCGATTGTTTGATGGTGTTATCAATAGCTGCAAACCGATTTCTATTCCAATAGTGAACAGTTTTAGTCTAACTTTTGTGCATTTGTTACCTGTGCACTTAGTGTGAATATATTTTTTTATGTGTGATATTGCTTGTAAGGTTGGTGTGTTGTACGAGAGACCTGCAGTGTATGAACAGAAGTCGAGCAGATCAGAACGTTGCGAAGATGTTTGATTTGATAGAAGTATTGCTCACATCGGAAAACAGAACTGGAGAGTCTTTCTCGACTTTATGGAAACGCAAGTGCTGTCAGCTGTCAACTAATTAGTATAGTCAATCTGTATCATCAAACCTAGCCAAAATACCACTACTATTAGTATTGCACGCACTTTTCTCATTCTGAGTCCCTACGAAACTGGTACCATTTGATGCAGAATTAAATTCTGCAACTAACCCAAGTAATATAGCGAATCCGGACAAAAAAGGCGAATATGGTGTTAACTTCAAAAATGTATCACTACCTTTGGAATTACTCAAGACTTTATGAATGCTTCTAGCGCATTGGTTAGATTTGAAAACAAAAGTATAAAAAGTAATTATATCTGTTTGCAGCTGAACCATGACCTAAACAAGAAGGGTTCTGTTAACGTCACTGTCAATAACTCTGATAGGTATGAGTACGTCAATAAAAACTTTAGGCCAGAGGACTATAGAGAAATTATCAATTAATCAATCATATGAAGAAGTATATGAAGCGATGTACATCATATCATACACGAATAATACTTATTTTCTTTTCCTCATCTAAAGTATACTTGTTGTAAACCTCACTAGTAAACTGTCCTAATAAGATCTTGCTATTTTCGTTTCTCTTTTCTTTCTTCATCTTTTTTATACTCTATTTTGCCCAACAAAGAATTTTCAGAAGTCGCCATAGTCTATTGGTATGTAAAAAGCTCAAAGAACACCTAGTGAATGTCAAGTAGGTGCTCTTCATCACTTATCTAGTGAGAGTTATTCTATTTTCAAGTCATGCACGATTTTGATATAGCAGTATGAGATATATATATATGAACAATATTTACATTAATATTTCAATAAAGTTGAGGGTGTGGGTGTGAGGTGCCAGTGTAGGTATTCGCTTGTTGCACATCCTCACACCCACCCACACCCACACCCTTCCATTTGCCGAATCTAGAACCCATCATTGGCTGTAACGATCGACAGTAGGACTTATTACTTTTAACTGTTCCACCTCGATCACCTTTTCGATTGTGGTAGTATACTTATTTTAACGTAAGGCAACGCAGTAATTATGTTTTGAATTTATGCGTTTCATAGATTTAATTTAATTTAATTCATTTGATGCTTTATATTTTAGAAGCTTAGTATCTATGGATTATTCATTTAGTTTCTCTTTCAAATATTCATCTTGGAATTATATACATTTTCGGAATTATATATTGAGGACAAATACTTTTCTAACACCTTATAATCTCATCATCATCAATAATAACCGCGGTTAACCCTATGAGTAGCCGGAAATAATATGTAAAAATTAACGCTAGATAGTTTTATTCGTTGTTCTCTATGATGGCAGTCATGTACAAAACATATATTGCATGGAAATAGATAACCTTTTGTGTCAGTTCAATCGCATATAGTTCATTTAAACACGTAACAACTTTCAAGTTATTCTTCTTTATCGTTAAATGCTCAGCGCCTGTTTTATCAGCACATATATATTGTTCACCTGCTCTTCTCATTTGTCATTAGTATATTATCAACGAACGAATGATAGAAAAGAGAGAAAATAAACAAAATTACGTGAAGAAGAGAAAAGAGAAGAGAAGATGCAGCGATTTTTTTCTTTTGAGTTACACGTAAATAGAGCAATAACTTTTACATTGCTGAGAATGAATAAATGAAAGTGACTTGTTCACTGTTCGTGTCAATGCACGCTATATAACTGACATGGATATTCTGAATAATTTTAATAATTCGCAAGTCTTGGAAAACGTTAACATAGCATTGCTTATTTATGATAGTCAATTCACTTTGTTCTTGTTGATATCGAAGATTTGATCTACTTCTGAGAATTATAAAAATAATGAGATATGATATCTTAATTTCGTCATGAAAGTCATCATAAAATTTTTCTACAAACACTGTTATTTTTAAATACGCTCTCAATAAAAAGTCAGCGTTATTTTTACGCTTCATTGGTTGTTGTTTATATCGAAAGAAATAGAAAATTTGAACAGAAAAAAATGCACTACTCCGTCTACGATCAATAAGTTCATATCAGACAATGACATTTCCAGCTGAACAATCGAGAAAAACTCAAAAACTTGGTGGATAATGTATGAATCTAAACGCAAACAACAATGAATTTTCTTTTGCTTTTTATTTTATTATATTTGCCGGGGCCAAGAAAATAATTGTAATTTCAACTTAAATCAATATATTCTAAACATATGAAAAAAAACAAATTCAAATCGTATATAATTTCAATGGATTAAAATTTATTTCGTTTTTCTAAAGTATCAATTTAAAACAGAAACAATGTTTTCCGTCGCATACTGACACCAACTAACAAAAGCAACACTTAAACGTCAATCTTTTGAATAGCATTTCATAGCAATACTTTAATTTTGAACGAATATCACACACGTCATCACGAATATCAAACATAAAAGTATTTCAATATTTCCTATGCCAAGCACACAAGATATGAGCCATATTTAATATAAATTATTTTTCGTAGAAAATAAAACCAATCATGTTCTATAATATTTTCTTCACCAAACCATTTCAAATAACTCTCCTTTTCTTCAAACTCAAATGCACAAACAAATCTAATCAATTCATTTAACGAATTAAGCTACAGAAACAAAAACGACGATTTTTCTAATCCAAAAAATAGTAAAAAACAATTTTTTATATTTTTTAATTCTGGCAAAACTTAAACGAGCAAATCAATTCTTGGATTCCATTTCTATGTTTTTCTCTTAATAAATGATCATTTCCTCTACAAGTATATTCCATGAATCATCATTACAGAAAAGTAAAACATGGCGAAGCTGTTCCATTGGCTCAAAAGCATTCTCCAATAAAAAAATTATTGTACTGAAGCATATTTATTTTCTAGTTTTCCATCGAATCATATACTGATCCATGCATCTAAACATGCCGAAATTTGTAAAAACAATTTAATCTAATTTTAATTGATATTTTAACGAGTTTTTAATTATTTTTGCAATATTTTACACCGTACACTAGCGACATCAGTCGCAAAACTTGCCGCTCGCATTGCCGCAGGGTGCGATGCTCGCGCGTCGGTGAACCTACCACGTGATCAACGTGCAAAAACGTTTTGAAGTCGTAAAACGTTTGTGTTTTGTTCTCTTTAGTACAATTTAGTTCAAGATAGAACAAAATAAAATATAAATCTGTAAAAAATTAATGAAGTTCACACAAGCACAAATCACACTATATTGCACCAGTTCTTCTCACTTCGAAGCAAACGTTGCGACTCGCTCAGCTCATTGCAGATCACATGCCAACCGAACATTCCTGAAAACACTTCTGTTCACCTCTTTTGCTCACTTCGAAGCACACGTTGCCATTCGCTCAGCTCATCGAAGATCACATGTCAAAGGAACATTCCTTACGAGACTTCTGTTCACCTCTTTTGCGCACTTCAAAGCAAACGTTGCAACTCGCTCAGCTCATCGAAGATCACATACCAAACGAACATTCCTTACCAGACATCAGTTCACCTCTATTCCTCACTTCGAAGCAAACATCGCGACTCGCTCAGCTCATCGAACATCACATGCCAAACGAACATTCATCAATATACTTCCGTTCATCTCTTTTGCTCACTTCGAAGCAAACGTTGCGACTCGCCCAGCTCATCGAACATCGCATGCTAACCCAA